CAGTTTATACCCAAAGGACTTAAAACTCAGTACACTAGGGGCTGGGGATGTGGCTCAAGCGGTAGTATGCTCGCCTGGCATGCGTGCGGCCCAGGTTCGATCCTCAGCACCACATACAAACAAAGATGTTGTGTCCGCCGAAAATTTAAAAAATAAATATTAAAAAATTCTCTCTCTCTCTCTCTCTCTCTCTCTCTCTCTCTCTCTCTTAAAAAAATCAGTACACTACAGTAACACAGACACATCAATGTTTATAGCAGCTCAATTCAGAATAGCTGAACTATGTAACCAAACTACGTGCCCTTCAACAGATAAATAGATAAAGAAAATGTGGTATATATACACAATGGAATATTACTCAGCCACAAAGAATAATGAAATTATGGCATTTGTCAGTAAGTGGATAGAGAATATCATGCTGGGTGAAATAAGCTAATCCCCCCAAAAATCAAAGGCCAAATGTTTTTTCTCATTTGCAGATACTAATTCACAATAGTGGTGGGGGTTATGGAAGAATAGAAGTACTTTGCATTAGACAAAGGAGATTGAAGGGAAAGGAGGTGCAATGGGAATAGGAAAGATAATTGAATGAATTGGATATTACTATATTATGTACATATATGATTATATGACCAATGTCTATACTCATATAAAACCAAAAAATGAGAAGTTATACTCCATTTATATATGATGTATCAAAATGCATTCTACTGTCATGTATAATTTAAAAGAACAAATAAAAAAAATTTAAAAGACAGTTTTATTCTCTCACAATTCTGGAGGCTACAAGTCCATGATCTGATTCTAACAGCTTAAATTTTTGGTGAGGGATTTCATCCTGGCCTGTAGAGAATTATTATAAGTAAAATAATACAATATGTGCCTTTTTGTGACTGATTACTTCATTTAGTATAATATATTGAAGATTCATCCATGGCATACAATGTTTCAGAATTTCCTTAATTTTTGAGGCTGAATAATATTACATTGTGTTATATGCTTCGTCCCTGTAGGATTTCCCCAAAACAATAACATTTTGAAAGTGGCTTTTTAACTCTTCATCTATCTAAGTTACTGTGTTTATCAATAGTTCAGTCCTTATACGTAAAAACTAGGACTATAAAACCCTTAGAAGTAAAAAGTGAAACATTTCATGACATTAGATTTGGCAGTGATTTCTTGGCTATTACACAAATGGCACAAGCAACAAAAGAAAAAATAGCCTTAGCCCAAGTTAAAATCTTTCATGCATTAAAGGACACTATCAGCAGAGTAAAAAGACAATGAAAGAAAATATTAGTAAATCATTCATCTGATATTATTATCCAGAATATGTTGATAACAGTCAAAACTCAACCACAACAAAAAGAAACTTAATAACGAGCAAAGGAATTGAACACACATTTCTCCAAAGACTATATAAATGGCAAATAAAGGTATTAAAATATGCTTAATATTAATTAAGCATAATGCTTAATATTATTCCTAACTAATCATTAGGAAATTTTAAATCCAAACCATGATGAGATATTACCTTATACCCATTGGGGTGGCTATTATAATATCCCCCAAACAAAATAATCCCAGAAAGTGTTGGAGGGGCTATAGAAAAACTGGAATATTTGTGCACTGTTGGTGGGACTGTAGGATGGTTGCAGGTACTATGGAAACAAGTATTTTAGTATCTCAAAAAAATTAAAAATGTAGTTACTATTGGGTCCAGCAATTCCATTTTGGGGTATACATCAAATGCTTTGAAAGCAGAAACATGAGCAGATATTTGTACACTTCTACTCAAGGCATCATTCTCAATACCCGAACGCAGGAAACAGCCCAAATATCCATTGATGATGGATAAACAAAGGATTGCACAGAATACAATTTAGTGAGAACTTATGACAGAAGCATGGTTGAGGGTAGTGGCAAGCCCAGGGGATCCTTACAATTTGGGGTCTGAGGAAGTAGGCTTATTTTGTGGTCAGGACAAGAGCGACTTTCATCCAAGTCAGAATACATTGTTTATCTCAAGCTTAATATCAAGGATTTAAGTCTTTTCTGGCACTGTGGGCTCTACTTTCTGGTCAAAAAGTTCAACATACTACTCTAATTGTTTTTTTGTTGGTTGGTTTTTTTTGTAGTAAACTGGGAAACTATGCAGGGGAAATCAATCAGGGTTCCTCAGGGGCAATTATGGCAATTATGATTCTAAATGGCTATAGTTAGATCAAGCAAGACACATGTAGTATATAATTACATTTATTTTGGAAGTGACAAAATTGTAAAAATGGAAAACAGATAACTGGTATCCAGTAGTTACGTTTTATAGGCAATTATGGCCCTTAAGTGGTAATATAAACGGGTTTCTACTTTGTGACACATTCAGTTCTGTGTTCTGGTTGTAGTAATGGCCACACGAATCTACACATGTGTTAAAATTTCACAGAACTATGCAAAAAAGAAAAAGTGTGTCTGTAAAATTTGGTGAAATATAAATAAGTTTGGTATCTAAGTTAATAGACTTGTAGCAACATCAATTTTGTTATGCTGACAACAAACTAGGAGTATATAAATCATTGTCACTGGGGAAAGTTGGGGAAAACTTTTTGTGAATCAAAGTATTTTCAAAAAATCAATTAAAAATCCTATATAAAATATCTTCATTATTTGCTCATTGTACTAAGAATGAAAGCAAAAAATGTTTTCCAAATGTGCAGAGCTTAGCATGATGTGGTCCCTGCCTATCTTTTCTCTAACCTTTCTACTTACTAGTCATCCCCTTCTATGACACTCCTTATGTCTAGAATGCTTCTGTCATAGCTGTAAGAGAGCTGTTCTCTCCTCTGAATGAGGCAACATTTTTTTCTTTGTTCATTCAATGAACGTTTATAAATGCAGGCTTGAGAGGCAAAGCCTTAAGGCAGCAATTCAGGTTTGGACATTGGTTTGAAGTGCTTGTGAGACAATAAAATGTCAAGGTTGCCATTATGATTTCAATCTATTATGTCCCCCAAAGCTTCCTGTGTTTAGAGGTGGGGGATTTGGGGAAATGATTGGATCATGAAGACTCTGATCTCATCATAGATGAATTCTTTGATGCCTGAACAGACTACATGGAAGTGGGTACAGGTTGAGGATGTAGGTCACAGGGGGCCTGCCCTGAAAGGGCTTTTCTCCAGTCCCTTTCCCCCCCTACACTCCTTGTGGCTGCCATGAGTTGAAAGTTTCCCTCTGCCATGCCCTTTGCCATGAAAGTCTGCTTCACTTCAGGGGCAAAGCCATGGAGCCTGCTGGACATGGACTGACTCTTCTGAAACCATGAGCCAAAATAAATCTTTCTTTCTCTAAGTTATTCTTCTTGGGCATTTTGGTCACAGGAAGTGAAAAGCTAACAAAGTTAAGAATCTAATTAGATTCTTGGATATAGAGCTAGGTATAAAACTTGGGATCTGAGCTATACAATTTGAGGAGTTGTTCGAAAATTATATGGTACTTGAAGCTTTGTGAGTGCATGAGATCTCCTAGGAAAAGGATGTAATAAGAGAAGAAAGGAGGATCTAAGGCTGAATGCTGTGTTTCAAATGGAGAAATCAGTCCAGTGTATCAAATGCTGCTGAAAAATCAGGTAAACTGAAGCAAGCTAGGTTTATTATATTTAACAACATGTACAATCATCACATATTGATGAAAAAATACTTTAAAAGTAATAATTCAAGCATTGGCAATAGTGTGGTGAAACGGTCTGTTATGGATTACTAGTAATAAAATGGATTAAGATAATTGTTTTAGAAATTATTCTGTAACATGTATCAAGAGTTTTAAAATGTTTTTAACTTGGTCTAGTAATCGTATTTCCAAGCATCTTTTCAAAAACAATAATCCTATTTATGGGAAAAATATATATATATATAGTATTTTTTCTGTATTTATGAAATTATCTTTAATAACCATGAATTACCTTTTTAATGGAAAAATAAGTTTTAAAGTTTGTTTACATAACAAACTTTTTCTTGGTCTTTTGTTCTGTAATTTTCTTGTGTTATTTTATTTCCAAATTATTCTCTGCTACATTAAGAATGCTATAACAGTTGCATAAAATGTAGCTTTATAAAATCCTGAAAAGTAAATAAGATTTGCAGAAAACAATTAAAATATCTATCATTCATTAAGTGTTTTCTAGGAAAACCTACATTTCTCTATCAGATTTATTAAATGTATATTATTTAAGGGGCCTTCCTGGACCACACCATTTCTTTATTCCCAGTAGTTAGATTCTCCTATTAGATGGCCCCATATCCCGTGACCCTTATTGACACCCATCATGGCAATCTCAAATTCTCTTTGTGGGTGGTTGACATATTTCTATGAAATTAAACAAGAGCAGTATTAGAGGATTAGGGCAAAAAGAAGCTATAAAATTGTAGACTTGCTCTCATTATCTGAGATTTTATTCAAGGAATTCTCATAATGAAACAATTGCCTTTATTTCAAATATACTGTATTGGGAATAATTCTGGTTCAATTCAACTTCTATTTATAGCTCATGAGAAAAAGAAGGAAGGAGCATGTCAGACCTATCTGAATTTTAAGAGAATTTTTCTTAGTTTCCAGATATCATTTGAAACCTGCCTTAAAAGAGTATGTCATTATGAAGTAGGCTCCTATAGAAAAAATTCTAAGACTGATTCTAGAAACTTCATTATGTAGTTCATAGTGATAAAAACAAAGGGTTATGTATTTAAGGATCGCCATAGTCTCAGTTCATAAAGGATTCTGATAATTCATGATTTTTTTGATATGTTGGAAACTGTATTATGACTTATAATTCATAAATTTATAATGGTGAGTAAGCTAAATGGTTTTAAAAAGCTAGATATTGAAAGTATGGTAAATTTAGAAATGTAAAGAATGTCTAAACTAACAAATTCAATATATCGTGATGTAATTTACAATATTTTTGGCTATAAAAAGACTAAAAGAGAAATTTTATTTTGTTTTTACAGAATTCTGTAATACTAAGCAGGCAGTTGGCCACTTTGGGACAGAGGCCCACCATATATACAGTTTTGAAGAGAAAGGCTTATTTTTCATATGAAAACCCGAAGATAAAGGGGTATTTTATTTTTTTTAATTCCAAATATACAATTCAGGTTTAATTTTTAAAAAAAAATATCAGAAACTTTTAAAAGACTTAAAAACCCTGGTGGAATTTTATGTACTGTATCTTCTAAGTAATTTCCAAAGAGACTTCTTTTATGATAGAAAAAAATTGTGTGATAATCAGGACTAATTACCAACTCACAAAATGCCAAGCCAAACTCTTGGGTGATAGTTTCACAATTTGTTAAAACCTAAACTTCAATCCAAAAGCCTTATTGGGGGTGGTGGCAAATCCTGGCAATATTTTTAAAATGTTTTCTTCTAGTTTCTGAGAGTGAGCCACAATGGTAGGATGGTGTTATGGTTTGGATATAAGTTGTCCCCGAAAAAACTCATGTTAGGCAATGCAGGAATATTGAGAGTTGAAATGATTAGATTATGAGAGCTATAACCTCATCAATGGATTTGTCCACTTGATGGATTAATGATTTGAAAGGACCACGCTACTGGGTGGTAACTATAACCAGGTGACACATGGATGGAGGAAGTAGGGCACTGGGGTCATGGCTTTGGAGATATATACTTTGTCCCTAGTTCCTCCCACTCTCTGCTTCCTGGCTATCATGAGCTGGGGAGCTTTCCTCCACCATGCCCTTCTACCATGATGTTCTACTTTTAGGCCCAGAGCAATGGAGTCTGCAAACCACAGACTGAACCTCAGAAAATGTGAGCCCAAAATAACCTCTTCATTCTTTAAGTTGTTCTTATTAGGTACTTTGGTCACAGCAATGAAAAGCTGATTAACATATATGGTTGTTATAATCACCACTACCACCACTGCACACACATGTGCTTGTGCACACACACATAAACACACCAAAAATTCTACCCGAGAAGTAGCATCTATTGTTACTGTTAAACTTAGTAGGTTATCACAAGATGCGGATGGCCTTTCTTAATCCATTGAGCCACCTGGGTACAGGGTAAGGTTCTTATAACTAAAGGATATAGGTTACTGCCTTTGAAGACCTTACAGTAGTGAGACAAGCAAACAGAGATGTTATGATAGAGGTGAGCCTAGGATGGAGTGGGACACATAGAGGGTATACCAACTCAGGCTTGGAGGAGAGGAAATTGGGGAGGGCTTTCCTAAAAGGATAACATTTGCATTATTGAAAAGAAATGTTAGCAAATTGGGAGAACATTCCAGGTAGGGGGAGGGAGTGAGATATGCCCAGGTTTCTAACTGAGACCTGAGAAAATGTGCATTCTAGTAGACACATAAAAGTGAAATTCATGGGTACCATAAGATGTAACATTCCAGGGGATAAAATATCTTTAAAACGATCATCTGAAGCTTAAATTCCTTCTGACTTGATAAAACTTGGAAAGTAGGGAGGTAGAAAAAAACAGTCCCCTGCTGGGGATGTGGCTTAAGCGGTAGCGTGCTCGCCTGGCATGCGTGCGGCCCAGGTTCAAATCTCAGCACCACATACAAAGATGTTGTGTCCGCCAATAACTAAAAAATAAATATTAAAAAAAAGAAAAAAACAGTCCCTATAAAATCAAACTAGAGGCCTTTTATGATTAATCAGGAAGGTTATAGATACCATTTGTTTCTTTTCTATTTTAAAAAGCTTTATTGAGCTATAATTTATGTCCTCCCTTTAAAACTATAAGAATGGTTCAAATCAATTCAATGGTTTCAGTACATTTACAGAGTTATGCATCTATCATCACTATCTAATTGTAGAATGTCTTTATCAAGTCAAAAAGAAACCCCATTTCCTCATTCCCATTAGATTAGTAGCACTATTAATCTATTTTCTGTTTCTACAGATTTGCCTATTCTGGGTATTTCCATATAAAGAGAATCATACAATATTTTATTTGTAACTGGCTTTTATTTCAGCTAGCATCATGTTTTCAGGCTCTGTACATGTTGTAGTACTTTATCAGTATTCCATTCCATTTTATGACAAATAATATTCTATTATATGGATATGTCACATTAGATTTATTCACTCTTCATTTGTGGAGCTATTATGAAGAATGCTGCTATGAACATATATGTACCAGCCTTTATGTGACCATACATTTTCATTCCTCTTAGGAGTAAAATTTCTGGGTCAAATGGTATCTTAATGGAAACTGCCAGACAGTTTTCTAAAGTTGCTGTATCATTTCACAGTTCTATTTGCAGTATATGAGGATTCCAATTTCTCTACATCCTCACCAACTCTTGTTTTTTGACTGTCTTTTAAACTATAACTACTGCACTTGGTGTGAAATAGTATTTCATTGTAGGTCTGTAGTTCTCTCATAATTTATGATATTGAGAATCTTTTCATATGCTTATTTTTTCATTTATATGTCCTTTTTTCAACTCCTTTCCCATGCTATAATCTGGTTGTCTTTTTATTATCGAGTTATAAGAATTCTTTATGTATTCTAAATGCAAGTCAGATACACAATTTACAAATATTTTCCCTTTTTCAGGTTGTCTTTTAATGCTTTCTCATGATATCCTTGAAGCCCAAAAGTTTTTAATTTTTATGAAGTTCAGTTTATCTATTTTTATCTTTAGTTCCTTGTACCTTTGGTGTCACATCAAAAGAAACCATTGCCAAATCTAAAGTTAGAGATTTACCAGTATTTTCTTCTGAGTCTTAGCTTATATGTTTAGGTCTTTGATTTATTTTGAGTTCATTTTTGTGGTGTGAGATAACAATCCAAATTAATTAGAAATCTGAAGATGTAGTTGTCCCAGCACAATTTGTTGAAAGACTATTTTCCCCATTGTCTTGTTTGGGCACTCTTTGTTGAAAAGTCAAGTTATAAGCTGGGCATTGTGGTGAATACATGTAATACTGGCTACTCAGGAGGATGAGGCAGAAGGATCACAAGTTTAAAGCACACTTGGATAACTCAGCGAGTTCCTGTCTGAAAAAAAAAAATTTAAAAAGAGTCACAGATGAAACTCAGTGGGAGAGCACTTGCCTAGATTGCACAAGGCCCTGGGCTCATTTCCCAGTAACAACAACAACAACAAAGCCATTTATTCCAGGATTTTTCAATTTTATTCTATTGCCCTGTATGTTCATACTGATCCCACCAGTTATCAGTGACAAGTCCTGCTTCCTCACATGTTGAAGTATAACTAGAAGCACCCAGAGGCAAGCATATAAAGCAGGGTTTATTTAAAAAAGGGTAACCAAGACTTCTCCTGGGAGAAGTAACCTGCTATCACAAGAAGTGAGAGCTTTCTGCCTTTTTTATATGTCCTAGGATCCTTTGTTCTCCTGCTCTTTACCCCTTATCTCTCTCCTTCCTGCATAGGTGACTAGACCCAGGAGATGCTGGACAGAATGGCCAAAAGATGAGAAGCAGATGGGTGGGAGGGGCCAAGCAGGAAGGGGGCCCAGAGTGCATTAATTACCAACTTTTATAACTCTCTGTAGGGAGAAACAATTCCTGGGACAGGTTACCTTAGCAACAGGTTGGAGTCAGGGCAGGTTTTCTTGATAAGGGTAGAGGAAGGGCTATGAAGGCATTAACATTTTAATCCCTCTCCAACTTTCCAGATCCAAATTGGCCTCCTGGATCTGACCCGATTTACTTATCTAAACTGACTACCTCTTTTATTTCTGGCTTTCAATACTTATGCCAACACCACTTTTTTTTTTTTCAGTTTATTAGTGGGTTTTAAAATCAGGAAGTGTCAATCCTCCATCCTTGTTCTTGTTCTTCAAGATTATTTTGACTCTTCAGGATCTCTTGAGATTTATAAAAAATTTTAGGATCAGCTTGTCAATTTATGCAAAGAAGTCATCTGGGATTTGTAAGGAATTATATTGAATCTGATCAATTTGGAGTGTATGTTATCATAACAATACTAAGTCTTTCCACTCATGAATATAAGCTGTCTTTCTGTTTATTCAAATATTTTTTCAACAACATTGTGTAGTTTTCAGAGTATAAGTTTTATGCTTCTTTTGTTAAATTCTTATTTTTTATGCAGTTGCAAATGGAATGGATTTGTTCATTCCTGGATTGTTCATTACTAATATACAAAAATATGATTAAATTTTTCTACATCAATATTGTATCCTGAAAACTTGCTGAACTTGTTTATTAGTTCTAACCAGTTTTGCACACTCTTTAGTATTCTCTTTATACAAGATTATGTCATGTGGGAATAAAGATAGTTAAAGATAGTTTTACTTCTTCCTTTCCAAGCAAAAGGTTGTTTCTCTTTTTTCCTCACTAATTGCCATGGCTAAGAACTCTACTACACATGTTGAATACAAATAATGAAGGCAAATAATCTTGTTCCTAATATTAGAAGGCAACTATTCAGTTATTTGTGGGTTTTTTTCATAGATTCACTTTACTATTAGGTTGAGAAAGTTCTATTCTATTCCTAGTCTTTTTTTAGTATTTTTATCGTTAAGTAGGATTCATCCATGAAGCCATCTGGACCTGGCCTTTATTTGTGGGTAGTTTTTTAAAATTATTAGCAATTAAATTTCTTAACTTGCTATAGGTCTGTTCAGATCATTGATTTCTTCTTGAATCAATTTTCAATACTTTGTATTTTCCTAGAGATTTGTCCATTCATCTGATTTATCCCCTTACAATTCTCTTTTATTTCTATAATTTTATTAATTATATTCTTTTTTTTTCATTCCTGATTTGAGTAATTTAAATCTTCATTTTCTGACAGACAAGTTAAACATTATTCAATCTTGTTGATCATTTCAAAGAACCAACACTAGCTTTCACTGATTTTCTTTATTTATATTTATTCTTTATTTCATTAATTTAAGCACTAATCCTTGTTATTCCTTTCCTTCTGTTTTTTATAGGCTTAGTTTGCCCTATTTATTCAGTTTCTTGAGGTGGAAAATTAGGTTGCCGATTTTTTGTCTCTTTCTTTTTTTTTTTTTAATTCCACTGTCTTTCTAATTCCTAGCCTCTCCCTTCCTTTCATTCCCCTTTCTCTAATCCACTGAACTTCTATTCTTACCTCTTATCCCCCCTTGTTGTGTGTTATAATCCACATATCAGAGAGAACATTTGACCTTTGTTTTTTGGGGACCAACTGATTTCACTTAGCATGATAGTTTCCAGATAGGCACTTACAACTCTAAATTTCTCTTTGTGTGCTGCGTTAGCTGCATCCCATACTTTGTGGTATGTTATGTCTTCACTTTAATTCATATTAAAGTATTTTCTGTGTAACTTTGTGATTCCTTCCTGGACCCATTGGTTACTTAAGTGTACATGGTTTAATTTTTGCATACATGGGAGTTTCCCAAGTTTACCTTTTATTGATTTATAATTTCATTTTTCATAGTTGTTTAGTCAGCTATTTCACTGCTGTGACTTAAAGACCCAAAAGCACAACTGTATGGGGAGGACAAGTTTATTTGGGGGCTCACGGTTTCAGTTCATAGACAGCCAGCTCCATTCCTCCAGGGTCGAGGTGTGGCAGAACACCATGGCAGAAGAGTGTGGCAGAGGGAAACAGCTCACATGATGATCAGGACCAGAGAAATAGGTCTCCACTTGCCAGATACAAATATATATTTCGAAGCCACAAGGAATAACCTCCTTTAGCCACACCCCACCTGCCTCTGGCCACCAGTTAATCCCATCAGGGATTAATGCACTGATTAGGTTAAAGCTATCATTTCTCCTCCAATCAGTCATTTCTCCTCCAAATCTTCTTGCATTATATCACATGTGAGCCTTTGGGGGAGACCTCACATCCAAACTATAACAGTAAATAAAATACTTTTAAATTTATTGAGACAAGGTTCCCTGTTTACTTATGAAGAATGTATGTTCTGCTATTTTTAGTTGGAGTATTCTACAGATATCTGTTAGTACTAGTTGATTTATAGAGTTATGCAAGTCTTTTGTTACCTTGTAAGATCTGTTACTAGTTGTTCTATCCATTACTGAAAAGCAGCTCAGGACATGACACCGGTAAGCATAGGATGTAGGGTAGGATGTAGGGGGAAAAAGAGAAAGAGAGGAAGTATTTCCCTCATAGCAAAATACAAAGCCCAAAGGCATACTCAGTGACCTACCTCCTCCAGCCACACCCTACTTGCCTACAGTTAATCCCTATCAGAGGATTAATGCACTAATTAGGTAACCATATGAGCAAGTCCTTTATAATAAATCCCTTTCTATGTATCTCTATATATCCCATTGGCTCTAATTTTCTGAAGAACTCTTGACTATTCTGAATAGCATCTTCACAAAAATATGATAAGATGTATTTGTAAAAGAATATTAGAGTGCTAACACATAGGAAACAAAAGAGAAAGTTGGAAAGTGTACAATCACAATAAAAAAGTCAAAAATTTGAAAACAAAACCATAGGTATGGAAAAGTGAAAGGGGCACTATGCCCTGGATAAATCTTGGGGACCAAGTCTTTCCTAGCCTTGTGGATAATCAATTTGTTCACCCAAATAAAAGAGTGTCAATACCTAGTTGTAATGCAATGACATATATGAGATTATTATCATAATCAGTAGACAATCTAACATGGTACTAATATTTAAGAAATCACAACTGGAACCAATGTTAGAGCCAGAGTGATGTGGCTTTCAGAAAGCAGAAATTGTACTGAGTTTCATGGTGACATGGTTTAGAGCACAAGAGGTTTGATAGCAATCTTAGGACTGCCCTAATATGGAGTCCTATCAACCTACCAGGACCTCATTCTGAGTGGACAGAAGGCCATCATCACCAACTTAAATATGTATCCATTGAGGAAATGAAACTCAAGAAGTACTTAACTAAAAACATTCCACATCCTGAGGTTGGTTATTTGGATTCCCTTTTGAAACTCTCCTAGAGATTCTCATTACTTCTAAGATCTGTGTCAGAATGTTTATTTTCACAAATCACTTTGTGTCCACTTTAAAAGATAGATTTAGCCATGTCAAATTTCAGATTACCCAGGAGAAATAAAATATCCTAAAAACTTATAGAAAGATAAGATTTAAGTAATAACAAAAAATCAGTCTGTCATCTGACTTTCTCATTAGTGATTTGGAATAGAAAAGGCCTGATCAAAAAATGCCTTCTCCCCACCCTACTATCCATCAGGTGTGTAAAAGAAAGATACTTTCAGATACTCAGGGTCTCAAAAATTATATATGTTCAGGGAGGGAGGATGGGAGGGCAAAGGGGAGGTATTGAGAAGTAAATTTAATCAAATTATATGTATATATAAATATGCTACTAGGAAACTATTTTGTATAAGTTATACAATAAAAGGTATGAATTTTTAAAAAATGTATGTTTACACACTGATTCACAAAAGGTACTGAAGAATATAATTAGCTAAACAAGAAAAATCAAGTATTATCCAATAAATGATGGCTTTGACCCCAAGAGTTATAACGGAAAATACTAGGAGAGAAGTACAAGATTACATCTGCATTTATCACATGGAAGTTATTGTGGAACACTATTTCAATTATCTATTGGAAAACAGAAAACTAAACTTTTGTGTGTGGAGTAGGAGGTGGTACTCAAGCCCATCTAGGCAGAGTGCTTGTCTAGTACTCTGCCACTGAGGTACACCCCAGACCCTAAACAAAAATTGAAATTTTAAAAATAAATAATTATTAACTCTAGGAAAAATTATGTACGTAATATCTATGTGAAAGAAAATATAATCATAGTATAGCTGACTATACTATAATTATTAATATTTACATATATAAATATTTACACATCTGTACTATGGTTATTAATACCCAAGTATTAATGACCATATAAAGACTCCACTGATTTAACTAATCATTGTGGTATAATTTGAGAGATGAGAAGAAAAGACATATAGGTAGGCATGATATACAAGAAATAAATCTTTATCTTCCATATCAGAAGGCAATAGATAATGTATAAAGATTACATGTTAATAAAGAGCAGAATAAGAATATTTAGGAATATGGAAACATATTGCAGAAGAAAGAGCTTTAAGACTCAAGATTATTTTCCTTTGGGACAAAAATGGAAAATGAGAAGAAATGGAGCAGTGGTCGAATTTTAGTATTATTTGCCTATCTAGATTTCTATTGATAAATATAAAAAAATTAAAGATGATACTCTGCAAGATGGATGAGAGGAGAGAGAGATAATTTTATTCTTAATTTTTTCATTTTTCTCTTCTTAGGCTGTGGTATGTTAATTTGCCAATGGCTGCAGATGATTTAATAAAGGAGATTAAAGGAAACGAAGTGACTTTTCAAGATTGCTTTATTGCAGATCTTCCTTTTCTGCTGACTGTTCCTTTAATGACCATACCTGAGGATCCTGGCTTTTTACCAATCTCTTCGCCAGCTGGGAGTCAGTTAAAGTATTCCTGGCTTGCTTGTGTTCCTTCATTTATTGTGGTGGTAGCTGACATGGAGACCTTTCAAACCAACGATTCATTCCACACTTGGAACAGAGTCAGAGTACCTCCAGAGGTTCTGAGTAATAATGAAAGGCACAGCGTGGAGCAGGTGAACCTATCACATGATGGGATATTTTTTCTGATAAATGGTGTTCTTTACCTGAAAAGTCTTAAAACATTTACAAAACTAGGAAGAAATGAAGAACTTCCTGAAGGTGAAATTATTGGCATTACATCCAGAAGATGGTGTTGGGTCAAGTTTATATTTAAGGTTAGTGAAAGATTTCATGTATATATTATACATAGACATTTAGATATACGTACCATACCATTTATTGAGAGATATATCAGAAACTATAGTACCTACACTGGATTTCACACAATGATATTTTTTTCTAAGACTGTGTAAACAGCTATATCTTTCTGATGTAGCTATATCTTAGCAGCCTCTTTATAACAAAGATGTGCTTCCAACACAAAGAATAAAAATGATCTTGTATGTTGTTATACAGAGTAGTTCAATTGTATTATGAAGGCTTTTTTTTACTTTGATATGGGCAAAAGACACTCCAAAAAAATTTCCCCAAAGGCTTTGTACTATAAAAAACGAACTAAATCTTCTGTTTATGACAATGTAGTGAATAAGATACACTGAAGCTTTCTCACTACAAAACACTTAAAATGCTATCTATCCCCAAAATTTAAATATTCTTTTAAATACATTGTTGGGTTTATAGGGAAGTAAGAAATCCTCAGTGGTCCTGGAGCACTAATCCAGAGGAACAAGCAAACTCCAAAATCTCGGCTTGCACTAAGGACTGACCCCAGATAATGAGAACTCAGGTGCCAGGAGACAAAAGCCTCTGGCCTGACAAAGTAGGAAATCTAATAATGACATTTTGCACAAAATAAGGATCTTCAAAGAGTTCCAACTCACATTCACATCAGAACCCAAATTTATAGTGCCTATTTGGAGAAGGAGGAGAAGGGGAAGGAGAAGAAAAAAGAAAAGAGAAGAGAAAGAAAGATTAAGCCAAATATCAAACAAAAGCAAACACAAATCCTTTTTGGAAGGATAAATCCTGAAGTCAGTGATATGAGTACCAGAAATAAACAGGATTATTAACTGTTGATTGTATTAACTAGCATGTGTGTTGGATAAAAGCAGACTATAAGCAATATGCCCATGATGTAATGTGAACTGCAAAATTTAAGATAAACTGCAGAACTTAGATAGACTTAAGTTAGTGGTGCAAGAATCTACACCCTGGGCATACACTCTAGGCCTCACCCAGTTACAGTTGCAAGCAAAATCGAACTAGGACTTAAAAACCCAGACTTTGGGGGGCCGGCAGAACTAAAAGGACCTGAACAGATAGACTGAGACCTCCGTTGCTGTTGTTCCCCCTTGCACCAGACTCCTCCAGCCGAGATCAAGTTCCAGCGACCTGGACTTAAGACATGTCACAGGTGAGTATCTGGGACCTTCAGGTGTAGAAGCAGTTAGGAATTAGAATTAGGATGTGTGTCTAAAGTGTGATGAGCATTAATGAAATCGATTTGGTTGAATCTACCTGTTCCTCAAACTGAGTCTGTAGAAACCTCTCGTGACAGTTAGGCTTAAAAGGATGTTCACAAATAATGTCCTGACAAAATTGAACTTACAGCTGGGCGAGGTGGCCCACACCTGTAATTCCAACAGCTCCAGAGGCTGAGGCAGGAGGATCGTGAGTTCAAAACCAGCCTCAGCAAAAGCGAGGCACTAAACAATTCAGTGAGACTCTGATCCTGAATAAAATACAAAACTAGGGCTGGGGATGTGTCTCAGTGGCCTAGTGCCCCTGAATTCAATCCCTGGTTCCCCCTTCCAAAGAAAACTTTACAGTTTTATTGTAAATGAGCAATTATATAAACTCATGGGATACACAATGTTTGATTTATAAATACTGTGTAGAATAATGAAATCAAGCTGTTATCATATCACCTTTAATACTTAATTTTTGTTGTTGTTGTTGTTATAAGCACATCTCTTACCACATTTGAAATGTACAAAACTATTTACCATGGTGGGCAATATGCCTCAAAAATAAACAAAAACCAATATTTTCCTGTGTGAGTTTTTTTGTTTGATTGTTTGTTTGTTCGCATATCATCCTCCCATTCCCTCTACTGGGCAGGCTCTGTAATCACCACTCTACTCCCTGCTTCTGTGAATTCAATTGTTTTAGAGTCTACATATATTTGGGAAGAGGTAGTATTTGTTTTTCGGTGCTTGAGTTGTTTCACTAGGTATAATATCCTCAAATTCCATCCATGTTTTCCCAAATAATGAATTCCTTTATTTGTAAGGCTAAATATTAGTCCACTATATATATGTATCACGTTTTCTCTGTCCATTTCATGATGTTCAGTTAGATTGATTCCACATCTTGAATATTGTAAATAATGCTGCAGAGAACATGGGAATGCAGATATCTCTGATAAACTGACACACAGACCAATGGAACAAAATAGAAGGCCCCAAATCCACTCATAGTTAATCTATTTGTAAAAGGAAGCCAAGAACATATACTGGAAAAAAGATAGCCTCTTTATAGGATGTTGATAAAACTGGATACCTTCAGAAGAATGAAATTATACCTCTGTCATCACATGCAAAAGTGAAAAATGGATTAAAGACTTAAATGTAAAACCCAATAAAATGGGGAAAAGTCTGTGACATTGGTCTGATCATTAATTTTTTTAAATAAGACTCAAAAGCACACATACAATGGCAAAAATAGACAAATGGGATGCATACAACTAAAAAGTTTCTGCACAGCAAAGCAAACAATCAACAGAGTGAAGAGACAACCTACAGAATGGGAGATAATATTTTAAAACTATATATCTAATAAAGGGTTAATATCAAAATATTGAATGAAATCAAACAACTCAATAGGGGGAAAAAACCCAGTTTTTAAATGGGCAAAAGATCTGAACAAACATTTTTCAAAAGACGTACAAATGCCCAACAGGTACATGAAAAAAAATACTTAACACTAGTCATCAGAGAAGTACAAATCAAAACCACAATGAGATACCACTTTACTCCAGTTACAATGAATAGTATCAAAAAAGCAAAAGAAATAAATTTTGATGACAAGGTAGAGAAAAGAGAACCCTATACACTGTTATTGGGAATGTAAATTAGCATACCTATTATGGAAACCAGTATGAAGTTTCCTCAAAAAAATTAAAAATGGAGCTACTATAGCAATTTCACTAATGGCTATTTTTCCAAAAGAAATGAAATAAGTAACATATTTGCACTCCCATGTTTATATCACTGTACTATTCACATGTTTTCTATGGTCTAGATACAGTTTAAGTGTAACCCCTCAAAGTTTCATGTGTTGGAAGTTTGATCCTGGGTATGGCAATTTGAAGAGGTATAATTTTTAAGAGGTAAGTTCTAATGAGACATCTTTAGGTCATTGGGTGAGCTGCCCTTGGGAGGAATAAGGTAGTCTCCAAGGACCCCTGAGCTCTTGGGAGAACAAGTTGTTATACAAACCCAAGCCTAACTCCAATAATTCCCTGCTTTTCCATTTAATGATGTGAACTCTCACTCCTATACATGTTCCCACCGTGATGCAATCTGCCATGATGTGATACATCCGAAAGGGCCTCCACCAGAGCTAAGCCAATACCAGTGCCATGCTTTTTGAACCTACAGAACTGAGTTAAATAATTCACGCTCTCCAAGTATCTGGCTCAAATATTTTGTTATATGATGGAAAATGGACTATAATGGTGTTCATCAACACATAAATGGATAAAAATTATCTGGTGTTTATACACAATTGTATATTCTTCAGACATAAAAAAATAATGAAATCCTATCATTTACAACAATATAGATGAATATAGGAGGATTTTATGCTAAGTAAAATAAACCAGTCTCAGAAAGACAAATACTGCATGATATCACTCATACGTGGAATGTAAAAGCGTTTATCTCGTAGAAATTGAGAAAAGAATCTGAGTTACCAGAGGCTGGGAGTGGAACTGGGGAGAGGTTGGTCAATAGATACAATGTTATAGTTAGAGAAGAAGAAAAAGTTCTGGTGTTTTATTACACAGCAGGGTGACTGTAATTAACAATAATGTATTATACAGTTCAAAATAGCTAGAAGAGAGTATTTTGAATGTTTTCATCACTAAGAAGTGATAAATGTTCAAGATGATGAATATGCTAATGCTAATTAGCATCACACAGAGTGCTAATAGCTATGCATATATGGGGAAACTGTCCAAGCCTAGATTTGATCATTACACATTATACTTATTATTACTTGTTATACTTATTATACTTACATTAAAACATCACAGTTGTACCCCATAAGTATGTATAATTATCATGTCAATCAAAAATAAAGATTTAAAATTTTCAGAATAAAACCTCAAATCTTCTGAAAAAAGAAATATTATTAAGCCTTTAAAATGAAGGAAATCCTTCTATTTGCAACAATGTGAAAGAACTTAGAGGATATTATTCTAGGAAAATAAGACACAAAAGGAAAAAATACTAGATGAATACACTTATGTGAAGGATCTAAAAATAGCAAGACTCAACTTCATGGTCCCTACAGCATAGAAGTAAAAGAAGGGATAACACTAATTAAAATAAAGATAATAGCTGTAATAATATCAAAGTGTATTTTAAAACATGAAATATTACTAGTGATAAAGGTAATTTCCTATTAATAATAGGGTCAATTTATCAAAAGCATAAAATCATAAATATTTATGAACCTAGTGTCAGAGCTTCAAAATACATTGAGCAAAAAGTAATGAAACGTCAAGAAGTAGATAAAACCCACAAGTTTAGATTTTATCTCTCAATATCCCTTCAATAATTGATAGAAGAAATAGAAAATCAGTAAATCTGTTGATGAATTAAACACTCTCAACCATCTATGTCAAATTGGTATTTATAGAACATACTGCCCAACAGCAGCACAAAATTCTTTCCAAATAAACATGGAACATTTACCCAACATAGGCCGTGTTCTGTGCCATAAAACAAACCTTGGTATAAAATGATGAATTTTCATCTCTCTCATTATTCATTTCATACAAACTATAGTGAACTTAGAAACCACAACAAAAAGATGTCTGCAATATACAAATATTAGGAATTCCAAATATTAGGAAACTAAATAACCTACTTTAAAATAATCTATGAATCAAAGACCAAAATTCAAAAGCAATTAAAACATATTAACT